CCCCCCCCCCACCCCCACCCGGCATGCCAAAAAAGACTGGGAAAATATGGCTCTCTCAGAAGGCGCCCTGTGTAAGCTAGTAAAGTGGACAGAGGTGGTCTCCCAAAATGAAAGGTTTAGGTGAGGCTATGCCAGCTTGGTCGAGCTACGTCTCCAGCACCTAGACTGGGAAACAGAGACTCGGATGAAGTGAGAATAAAACACGAAGAGATGGGCTTGAATGAAAACACCAGACGATGCAAAGTGGACAGAAAACACCTCAACTCACTCAGGAGTAGGCCATGGGAGTGTAGGGTGTCTATACCAGAAATCACAGGTGTTTCTGGCTTAAATGACCAATAAATTTGTCCACCTCAATCATGGAACCATACCCTACTGGAAACCCTTGATAGTTCCCCCACTTCACACCACAAAACTTTGCACCATAAAGTCCTGAGCCCAGCACCCAAGACTCTAGTCCCCCTTTTCTGTTTCATTCATCTCTCATATGCCCCTGCCATAGTGCTCTTCCAACAGCACCATCCCCTTCCACAAATGCCCAGAATTTCCCAACCTTCTGTCTTTGCTCACAGCCCTGCTCCCACATGGAATGCTCTTACATTTTTCTCTGCTAAAAAATCCCACCAATCTTTAAAAAATTGGGGGAGGAGAGGCTCGGGCCCAGAGAACCGTATGGCAGTCAACCTCCTGAAGGCAAAGACAGGGCCCCTTTCTGTCCTAATCATCCTCCTACTTCATGAAGCCCACAACCAAGCTGTTATTTAGCAAAAGATAGATAGGGATAATCCCTGGAACCCCTACCAGCTCTGGAATCCGAGAAATTAGCTGTAAAGTGATAAACCAGGAACAATCTAATCTCAGCTTTGTTTTAACAGGAAGACTGTTGTCTCCAGAACCGTCGCCTCCAGTCAGCCAGATATCAACAAGAAGGAGAGCAGCAAAACTCATGTTTTCTGCCCCTGGCCCATAGAAACTGAGCCAGCCTCCTTTAAGCTAAACCCCAATCAAACCCCTACCCAAGGAGTCAGAGGGAGACACTGGACTCTGATTTGTCCAGCTCATTAATTTCAGTCAGGAGAACTGGGCATTCCACCATAGCTTTTTCCCATGCATTCAAGGGACAGTAAGTAATCAACTTGCCCCTCAGTCATCCAGTTCTAGTGCCTCTGAGAGCAAGATCAAGGAACC